TTTAAATGTAAGCACAGACTATTACTTAATAAATTTGGTATAAAACACACCAGTCATGAATTAATCAGTTACAAAGCTCAAAACAGATAAAAGGACATAGAGCTTTTAACAAGAGCTCTTCTGACTCTGAAAATTTATGTCTTCATGTGAAATGCTGTAAGATTATGTGAAAGTTTCAAAGGGTAAACATAACAGCCTGCACTGTCAAATTATATTTATGGAGATTTTGTGTTTATGGAGATTATGTAATATAATACATATTTATGGAGATTTTGTATGCATGTACAGTCACCTGATTCTTTTCGTTATGTAGCGGTGCCTTATTTTAAATCATTAAAATAAGCATGATGTTTATTGAAAAATGGAAAAAAAATGAAGCTCTTTAATCTTTTAGGATATGAAATCCAAAAGGCACTCTTTTTTATTTTAAAGAGAAGAGAAAGCAAGATAACACCAAAAAGCACTCTTGCCAGAGAAAATACCCAAAATTCCTTTCCTATAAATAAGGAAAGGAAATATCAAGTAATTCTTTCCACTCAGCATGTCCAAAGACCCAGGAGAGACGCCAGGGCTGTGGGTCATACAGGACTCAGAGTAAGTGTTGTTGAATATATGCTTTTTATTTTCTTCATAGATAAATACAAGTTTAAACAAAGAATTTATATAAGAATTTGTTTGTGGCAGCTCTTTGATTCCACTTGATATGATTTTTAAGAAACTTGGATCTTCGCTGATAGTCCACAAAGGACTCCATGGTTAATGTGTGGTCTGAAGAAGTTATACATGTGCCAGCACCCCTTCTGCCACTGGTAGAATGCAATCGGGGAGCACATACAATGCCCTCAGAGTTTCCTTGGGTCCCTCGCTTTGTTTCTAATTATAAAGGACATTCATTACTGTTTTCTTAACCCTTATGACAATACATTCATGTCATTCTGTAGGGTGTAGGTCGCATCATCTTCTCTCGAAGAATTTGTAGGCAGCAGCAAAAAGACCTTTCTCAGTTACCCCAGAAATTGCACCAGGTAGGTGCACGTAGGCTGGGCAAAAGAGCCCGTGCAATTGTACAAGGAGTTCAGTCATCACTAGAGAGCCTCTGAAATCTCTTGTGTTTCCTTCTTTTTCATCAAGGTTGAAGGAAGCGAGTACCATTCCTTAGAGGATGACGGCTCATCAGATCTCAGCGTCTCCCGTGAGTGTGGGGAATCATTTCATCACATTTCTTCTGGGAGATGACTAGCAACTTAAATGCCTCAGGCACACGGTGCAAAAGTGGGGAAAGCGAGGTGCCAGGACGATTTCCCATCTCCAGACCTTTTTCAGAATTTACGGTTTCAGGATAAAGCGTCGGAGAATACAGGACCTCCCACCTCTTGCCAACAGACGGGAAACAGGTCAGATCACATTGGAGACATGGCCAGGAGGCGAGGTGATCTGTCTGGAGTGGGTTTCTCAGCCCAGTGCTTCGCTGAGTACAGGTTCTGGTTGGCATCAGGTCCCTGCCATTCTAAATTTTCAAAGCAATAGAGGCTGTGGGTTTGGGTTTTAGCTATTTTGTCATAAATCTGAATTCAGAAGATGCTAGGATTACAGAGTTCGCTAGAATCGATATTCTCCATACCTCCAACTTACAGTGAAAGGCACTGCATCAAATGCAGCAATTCACTAAGATCAAACAGTTAATTATTATTGAAAGGAACACAAACAGGATCTCCAAGCTCAGGCTCTAGCATTACTTTCATGTACATTTGTACACTTCGGCCACTGAGAGAAATCTGTAATGCTTTTGTATGTTTTTATTTCCATCAAATAATATTTTGCTGATCTCTTATTAAATACTTAAATTTGCTATGAACATTAGAAAATGTTTATTTTCTCAATATTCTGCCCTTTCTTCTTTCTTTGGGTGTCAGACAGACTGAACATTAGCTACACAAAACTACAAAATATTAAGATTTTTTTTCTTTTTTGCCTTAGGTAAGCCCTAATTTGAGATTTCATAGTATGGCCTCTATGTCCATAAAGATAAAATGGATATACTGTGGAATCAAAATCCCTTCCCCCTGTAGGTTAAAATAGTCCTTGATGCATCAGTGCCATGAAATAAGCACTGAATATTTTTGAAGTTATGAGTATACACTCAGCTACAGAATTAAAGCAATATTTACACACAATGGCCAGGTGCATTAAGCTTTTCCTGTTGAATCTTTTCTCAGAAGTCACAGAAATCAACACTTTATATATAGTCTAACCCTTTTTTGCAGAAAGTTATTACAGCAGTTATTACTAACTCTAATTAACAAATGGAAACTCATCCCATCATGAAGACAGAGTGCTGGAGACACATAGTATTCAATGATAAATCCTAGATTAGTGTGCCCACTATACAAGATTGCTTAATGATTGGTAAAATGGTTTCTTACATACTGCCTTGCTTACCCAAAACCTTGAAGCTGTAAAGAAGGAGAGAATGGTTTTCTAATCATGTTCCTAAATGGAATGAAATGAACTCAGTGCCAGATCCTCCTCTGGTTGGGTGTTTTGATGCACACCTGCAATTGCAACACTCAGGAGGCTGAAGTAGGAGGATCGCAGTGAGTTCAAGGTCAGCGTGGGCTACATAGTGAGACCTTTTCTAACAAAAAAACAGATCAGAGTCCTGACTCCCTGTGCCATGTTCTTGCACTGTCTCTTATGCCTTCAGCACTGCAGTCTGCGTTCATACCCACATTTAACAGAAGAGGTCTTGGTCAATTTCCTTCCTCTATAGAAGTTTGAATTTTCAACTGTAGGATAATCTTCTCTCAAAATTATCAAAGTCCAGTGGAAGACTAGCGAGTGGTAGAAATTTTGCTGTTCCTCCTTCTGAGGGGTTGTCTTAATTTCCTATGTGAAGCATCCAGGGGAAATAAACACAGCACTTTGTGGGAAACTGGCAGTCCCAGATTCGATTCTGGTTCTACACATTCAGTGTGACTCTGCAAGCCCCTTCGGCCTCTGCTATTGTACCTGAATGAACTAAACTTATGAAGTGATGGACACATTCATATAACAATGAGCTGATGTGGAGCTGGACAAGTGCTCTATGCCTTTGGTTTGATTTAGAGAGCTGTATTTAAGTATAGAATATAGAATATACACTGAACGGAATGAACAGAATATGTTTCAACTATAAAGTTGGAGGTTTCAGTGCATGCATCCATGCGTGAAATTATCACCACAGACAATACTTGATGGTGTTTCATGCTTCGACTTGGTACTCATGTACCTTCTTCAGAGTGAACCTACAGAAATCTCAGCTCCCTTCTCCATTGCATGGCTCCTTTTCTTATTATTGAGTTTTTTAATTTATTTGTGTACTATGGATACAATTTCTTGATCAGAAATAAATTCTTCAAATAATTTTCCCAGCAGATTCTTTTCATTCTCCTTTTCCTAATTGACCTAATGTATGAAATGATCCACCGGTTCACAGTGTAGGAATTGAATGGCACAGGAGTAGATGTAAGTGTTTTGTAAACTCTTGGGACAGTGTTTGCTATCATTGGGACCCCCTTCTTTGCTGTGATTGATTATAATTATGTGGAAACTGAAACCAAGAGGCACAGCTTTCATCACTTTTAAATCTTGAATTTGGAAAGAAACCTTTGACCAATGGCCATAACCCCAAGAAAAACACATTATACTACAAACAAAGCAGAAGCTTCTTTCCTAAGCCATAAACCAATAAAGGCAGATGCAGACTTTCTCTCTTGAGGCTTAGATAGAGGACGCTATTTATTTCTAATTTCCTTGAGTTCTGCCTTGTTTTGGTTTGGTTTGCTCACACCCAATTCACTCGATTGTGCAGTTCCGTAGATACGCATGCAGCCAGTCAGAAGAAACACACGTGTGCTCTTTACAAAACCACTGAGTTGCACAGTGCTTTCTCTTTTCCCCCTAGTGGATCCTTGGCTCTTAACTCTGGACAGAGCTGTGCAATAGCCTCTCGGTTATGCAATAGAATTATCCAGAAACTCAGCTGTTTCTTCATCCTGAATACATCACATTCCTCACTTCGGACCCTTCAAAGATCAGAGGAACTAAAGGGCCATTTTTATGCCCGGGCATAACAGACACAGCAAGAAAAAGGAGAGTGCACCAAATTTGATTTTCCTTTTACCAAATCACATGTACACTGAAGGCAATACAGGGAAACAGACACTGGAGTCAGACCCGGCTCTGCTACTTCCTGGCTGCTGACTTCATGTGAGTTACTAAATATCTAGTGCTCCTTTCAGAAGTAAGATAGAGTTAATGATACATACCAGCTTTTTAGAGTTGTTGTGAGAATGAATTTATGTAATGCATTTAAATCACTCAATGAATTATAAAATATAAATACTGAGTCATGGCCATTGGTCAAAATCCTTGGTCTTTTAAAAATTAGTTTTTGTTGCCCGTTGCTATACTTCTGACCCTCTACAATGAAGATTTCACATTCCCTATTTGTGCATATATTTTACTTTGAGATCTGTGAGTCTCATTTTCTTCTCTATCCTGACCTATAGTGAGAATTAAATTTTATGCATTACCTGTATTTACATTTTCTTTGTTTTGGACAGACAAAAGGAATGATCAAAACCATTCTTCTTTACTAATGAATGAGTTGGATTACTACCCAAACTAGCTCAAACAAACATCTCATATCATGTGATGAATGACAGTAAAACACCAAGATCTTCGAAGACACAGAACTTGGCCTTCCCAAGAAGCTCACACTTTCTTATATTGTGTGTGGGCACGTGGAGAAGCCACACAACCATCACAGTCACCATAACCACCACTGAATCTCACCAGTGGAAGGATTTAGGGGAATCACCCTAAACAAAGTCTTTACTTACTTCTACATATAAAATCCCAATGGCCTGATGGTTCAGTTGTAATTTGAATATTTTCAGTGACATGGATTTACTGCCTTCATCAATAAATTAAACCCAGGTCTATGTACAATTGGAGCCATGGATAAAGAAAACAAAAATCACTCGACAGTGACTGAGTTTATCTTCCTGGGCATCACTCAGGACCCTCAGCTGCAGATCATCTTCTTTGTGATCTTCCTCATTGTGTACTTGTTCAATGTTGTAGGGAACGTTGGCATGATTGTCCTGATCATCACGGACACTCACCTGCACACGCCCATGTACTTTTTTCTCTGCAACCTCTCCTTTGTTGACCTGGGCTATTCCTCAGCCATTGCACCCAGGATGCTGGCTGACTTCCTAACAAAGCACAAAGTTATCTCCTTCTCCAGCTGCGCCACACAGTTTGCTTTTTTTGTAGGTTTTGTGGATGCTGAGTGCTATGTCCTGGCAGCGATGGCCTATGACCGGTTCGTGGCCATCTGTCGACCCCTGCGCTACAACACTCTCATGTCCAAGAGAGTCTGCGTGGCTCTCATGCTAGGCTCTTACATGGCTGGTCTAGTGAGTTTAGTAGCCCACACATCCCTCACTTTCAGCCTCAATTACTGTGGTTCCAACATCATCAACCATTTCTTCTGTGAAATCCCACCACTCCTAGCCCTCTCTTGCTCAGATACCTACATCAGTGAGATATTGCTGTTTAGTTTGTGCGGCTTCATTGAGTTCAGCACCATCCTCATCATCTTCATCTCCTATGCCTTCATCCTGGTTGCTATCGTCAGAATGACTTCCACTGAGGGGCAGCTCAAGGCCTTCTCCACCTGCGGGTCTCACCTTACTGGTGTCACTCTCTTCTATGGCACAGTCATGTTCATGTACCTGCGGCCAACATCCAGCTATTCCCTGGACGAAGACAAGTGGGCATCTGTGTTCTACACGGTTATCATTCCCATGTTGAACCCCCTGATCTACAGTTTGCGGAACAAAGATGTAAAAGCTGCTTTCAAAAAACTAATTGGGAGAAAACCTCAGTAGTAACAACAAAAAAATCTGCTTAACCAGAGGTAAGTAATAGGATGATGGCAGGAGGTAGGAAAGGTAAAAAATTACCATAAACATTACACAAGTCATCCTCTCCTTGTCGAGCAAATCTTAAACTCTAAAGGGACTTTTCTGTAACTCTAGCTGTGTAATGTGAAAGGAATACCAGTTAAATCAACACTTTGGGAAAGCGTGCTTCAACAGTGGCATTAGTTTTAATTTAATTTGATCCATATGTGGATTTAAGAAAGATAGGACTCTGTAGAGAAAGGAAAGAGCTGGTTGCTGTAAAAGTGTATTTTTTGAGGGTCACAAGGAATGTCAGGTCCAACTACTCCACTGTTTTACTCTGAAATGAAGTCAGAGAAAACATAGATAAAATCATAAGAAATGGCATAAGTGGGGGCCTAATTCATTCTGAGATGGATCCATCCATGTTAGCAAAGCCTTACAAGGACAACATGTGTATAAGGTTTTGGAGACTGTAAATGCAGGACATGATTTGCCAACATTGAGTTTCTTGTGTTTCATTTGCTCTTTCATCCCTCTGAAACTGCTGACACCAAGAACAAAACCAGGAACTCTTCAGATCCAGAGCCTGAGGATCAGAGCTGACGTGGGCTACGCTGGTGACTAACTGGCCTTGTAAGCATTAGGATCCCTTCTTGCTTTGTCCACAGCTTTTTCTTTGATCAAGGGGCTGGTTTCACAGGATTCCTCTGGTCTCTTGTGCCTTATATTACAAAGAGATGGATGGATATCCATGGTCCGTGACTTCACACATCAACATCTTTGAGCACTCAGATAAATCTTACAATTCTGTGATATAGGAAAGACACAGTTCAGAGCAACCTTGCAAGGTGTCTTTTAGCAAAACTGTAATGTCTACAGGCTTAGTGCACCTAACCCCACCTATAATATTTTTTCTCTCCATCTTAATTATACCAAGACCTTTACCATGGGGCTCAACTTTTTCTAACGTCATGCCCAGGCCTTTATGAAGCAATAATCTCCTTAACCCTGATGTCTGAATGATGGACAAATCAAGATAAATATTTTCTCTGTGCATATTTTAAGGCTGCAAATCAAGATGTCAGCTATTAGCATTATTAGGTCAAGGCAGCAAACCTGAAACCTTGAAAAAGCTACAGTTCCATCGTATCTTGGTCTTGAAATATTTTCAATCAATAATCTTTCTGTCTAAACCCTTCTTCCAGAGCTATATAGTTAAAAGTTACAGAAACAATGGTTCCAATAATGTACAGACTGCCCACATTTATCAACGAAGTCACCAAAGAACCTTAGAAATAGAAGAACCAGCATTTATAAATCCGACTTTCTGATTCTGACACTGCACATGAATGGTGATTGATTTAGTTTAAGGTTACTTAGTCATATTCTAAATTCCAGAGAATAACATCAGCGTAACACTCTGAGAAAAGAACAGCTATAATTATTGGACAGTTGCAGAATTTTCACTATGGAAACAATGCAAAATTTTATCTTTGAGTTTATTTTGTAATCAAATGTGTAGATTATAAATGCCTTATGAAATGCACCAGGGCTTTCCTGTCCATCTAACTGTAAGGCAAAGGTACATTATAACTGGAAAAGAAGTTGTCTTGAATCTCATTTGTAAAGCTTCAATAAGTAACCCCACTGCTAAAGATTTTTTCTTAATTTGTGCTATGTTAATCCAATAAACAAAGTAGCTTAAATTTCATAAAATCCTTAAAATAGCAAAAGAGACAGGCATTATCCTGTTTTAAAAATAATAAAAATAATGACAAGTCAACAGTTTTGTAAAGAATCAGTGATTAAAGAAAAATAATCCAGCCTGGCATGGTGGTGCACACGTGTAATCCCAGCACTCAGGAGGCTGAGCCAGGAGGACTGTTGCCTGTTGCCTGTTGCCAAGACCAGCTGGGCTACAAAGTCAGCTTAAGGTGACTTTGCACATAGTGAGACCCTGTCTCAAAAAAAAGACAAAAAAAAAAAAAAGAAAATGAATCCAAGGACCTCATTCTCTCTGGACTACTGGCAAACATTCACTTTTTTGCACTATCTAAACAGGAGTTCTGATGTTGAGTCTGCTGTTTTTTAGTTATGTAACTTTGGGCAATTCACATAACCTCTCCAAGATGGTTTCTTCATCCACTAAATGAGAGTGATAACGCTTACATTTTGGGATTTCCCAAAAAGTGTGTTAGGATCTCTATAACGTATCTGTGAGTTAAAAGATGGCTAATGAACATTAATACCTTCTATCTTCCTCTTCGTTTATATGCTAACTATCCATCATTATGGCATCAGCGTGTCAGAATAAAGTGAGGACACGATATGTTTTAGTTTCCAACCAGTTGGTGGTAGGTTTACTTATATATACATGTAATGAATGGCAAGAGAAAAATAGATAGAAGTTGAATGAATCACAATTCCCACCAATAAGAGCCTTAAGTAAACCCTTCATCAACTCTGTACTCTGCTTGCTTTATCAGTAAAATGAGGACTATTATTTATTTATAATTTAACCGTATTATTGGTTCACAAAAGTAAGAGATTAGTAAATGCTTATCTTTGAAAAATCCTGGCTTTTCCTTCATACATTAAAATCATATTACAATTATAATAACAGAACAAAGGAAAACATGTTGATCATGTTCTCCATATTAACTGCCAGTTTTCATATCAAAAAAAAGTTAATACTGTTGTACTATGGGCTGTAAAGGTGAAAAGCATTGGAGAGGGCTTAAGATTGGAGGTGTCATAGTGCTGTGAAGCTGAGATTCAATTCTGCTGCCTCTGTTCTGTACCTATACGAGCTCGGGTGAGAATTATAGAAGGAAGTGGTGGTATCTATCTATTTAACTCTGTCAAATCAAGTGTTTCAGAAACAATAAATCTTCACCAGACCTGGTTTTAGGAAACTGAACCTGAGCCCACGTTGAAATCAATGTTATGAATGAGGTCCGCCAATGGCATCTGAAATGCCCCACTTTCAGCTATGACTTTCACCATTCCCTCCTACACCCTGCCTTCCAGTAGTGCCCGGTTCTTAGAAGTCAGATGCACCATGGCATTTTTCCCTTTGTATACTTTTCTTATATTAATAATTATACTCAAAGCCCACTGATCTACTTGTAAAATAAATTCTGTTTTAAAATACATATCGGTCATTGCTTTTTCTATAAATCATCCTAGGATTCACCCTCCAGGATTTTCAAATCTGTAAACTAGTGCAAACAATATCTACATGATAGGGTCGCTATGAGGGCTAAGCAAGATATTAGTACTGTGGCTAAGTGAACCTATTGTTCAAGTCAGCTTGGAGGTTTTTCAAGTGCCTCAGACTAAATATTAATAGTGTCCCCTTTCTCTCTCAAAAGTGCTCTCATGCACATATCAAAATATCTGAGAAATTAAAGTACAGTGTATTTATGTACATCTGGGTTTAACAAATGGTGGCTAGAGATATGCATATCATTCCACTAACTCTAAAACCTACCCACCTTAGTACAATGGCTCCCTGAGGAGAGCTTGAGACTTTGAGAAAAGCTCATTGTTTATTTTCATATCTTGGGGTACAGTTAGTAAGCAACAAATATTAATTGAACAAACGAATGACAGAACCTCGCTGATGAAACCTAGACCCAATTCTGGATCTCAGGAAGACTACTGGAGATACTGTATATATGAGCTGTTAAGATTCCTAAATGAGTATAAGTGACCCTATTTCCTAAAACCATGAAACTGGAGCTGTGGAAGTTTACATGGTGTACCAGGGTGCTCTCAACTTACAAGCAGTAGAGCTAGAGTTAGAAAATAAATAGTTTGATTCCTACCCAGTAGTTTATACAATAAAGAAATGTATAGCATTCTAGAAATTGAAGTCATGATCGGAACTTAGAGAAGTTAGGGACACCCCTGTAAAAGGCTGGATTTGTGGCTGTCTTTAGTCTGGCGATGGGGTTAGACTCAGTAGTCAGTATTTGTGCAGGATTGTACAGGCAAACACTTTCCAGATTGCACACACCCACCTTTGCCTGTGACCATAGTGAGCAGGTTCATTGCAAGGTCAGGAGGCTGCAGAAATCAGAAAGCTGGAATACACACAGAAACCAAATAAAAGATGGCAGCCAAGAGGCATTTCCTACTTCAGATCATGCTGAAAAAGTGAAATCAATTAAAGAAAGTCACTTTCACTTTGAAACTAATTCCCCCACAGTATTCTATAGTCCTCGCCATTTCTAACTGGAAGGCTAAACCATTATTTTCTGCTAAATGGAAAGACACTGACTGGGAATTACGGTAACAGGATGTAAGAAGGCAGTGTTCATTGTATCTTCCATACCTGAAGGGTGACATTAGAATCATTCAACATTGCGCTATTGTCCTTTATTCATCAGGCAAATAGAAATAGTGAAAAAGCAAAGTCATTTGAGGTTGCATTTTGACGTGTAAATTTATTTTCAGAGCTGAAAGAAATGCTGAGACATGACTGATAGACATACAAGTTTGTTGCCCAACAAATGTTTGATGTATAAATTAAAGAACTGAGGTTCATAACAGTAAATAATCTTCCATGTATGCATAGCTAATTTAGAACATTGATATTTCATTTATTCTCTTTTAAATATAGTTGCTTATAATAGACAAAAATACTGATCAGTCAGGCACTGAGAATATGTACTTTATGGCAATACACTACTTTATAATTTGTTTACTCTATACTTTTGTTATTCTGCCATACTATATTTTCTCCATGATATCCTTATATTACCATGATCCCAAATAAATGTACAGAGGAACTTATGTAATTGAATATTAAATGATGTTCAGGAATAACATTTCACCCTAGTTTGTATCTAACAATGATTATAGCATAGAACTGTCCACTTAATATTATTAAAATATTTTATTTTCATTTTATGTCAAAGGAAACAAACATAAGGTCAAACTTTTGCTTGAAGATCCTTAGATGACATTTAGTTTAGGGCCAAAGATGTCTGGGCCATATTATTTATTTTGGTCCACTCAATTCCCGATTACTAATAACTACCCACTGGTCAAAAATGCATGTATTGATCAGGCAGATGGTACAAATAAAGAATTGCCAAAAAGAAAATATTCACTTCCACTGTTTTTTTACAAGTTTTGCATAAATGTGGCCTCATGAGAATGATTTTGTAAGTTTTATAAATTATTAATTTATCACTTTTCTGAGTGGAGAGGTAATTTTTGTAAATAATAACTTTCAAATTGTATACCACTATAAACTTTTTATTTATCTTTTCAAAAATAGTGTTGTTTTTTTTGCTTGACCAATCTGTTTATTTTTATTTCTTTTTTTATTTTAAAGAGAACAGTAAAAAAAAAAAAGAACTAGCAAAATATCAACATCACGAACAAAAACAAAACAAAGAAACACATTAGAAATGATGCAGGGTTTCAAAACAAGATGACAGGAATTAACAGTGGTTGTTATATTACATATTGTTATCTTCAAAGAAGTTGCTTACAGCTAGCTTATTTGATAATATTAGGGAGAATTTCAAATGTTATCTTTTGCTTTAAATAAGTCATTCAGAAAAATTGCAAGTACATATTTCTAATAAAACTGCAGGTATTAAGCAAATATATAAACTATCATTGGTATAACAAGGAGAATATAAAAAGTAACAAAAGCTACTATGTAATGAAACTGACTAATCAAGCATATGGGGAAACAGAGCTGTCAGAGAATTTGGGGTAAAGATAGAGTTTAGGTCAAATCAAAGTACATTAGTATTCAATGGACCCATTTTGAAGGTGGGTTGGATGTGTGGAGATTAACATCAAATCTAACACTAACATCAGATGCATGGAGAGTCCTGATTCCTTATGAACAGAAAGGTAATGCAAACTTGGGATGCTGCAGCTAAAAACGCTTACTCTGAGGTTCTGTGCATGTGCTGGAAATAAATTTCTCTGTGTGGAAGTGACTCGGATACTCGGGGAGAGAGACCTGTTACAGAGACCTGTTACAGCAGCACAGAACAGCCTTCCCTCAATGAGGGCGATTGCTGGTCCTATTAAGGCTCTGCCGCGGGCTTGGCAGAAACATTTCTTCCTGTCGAGTTTTGTAGGTGAGTTAGCTGGTGGATGTTGGATGTCTTTTACGAAGGACCAAGCTAGCTTCCTCTTCGTCTTCATACTCAAACTATAACTGTGTTAGGTTAGCAGGGGAGTATGGTGTCAGGTGAGGGCCTCACACTCTCTGTTCTACAAGAGCTCTCTTCAGAGCTCTTTTCACATCCTGGTTCCTCAGGCTGTAGATCAAAGGGTTAAGCATGGGTGTGACCACAGTGTAGAACACGGCAATGACCTTTCCCCCAGCCCGGGAGGACTTGGACTGGGGTCTCATGTACATGAAGATGGCTGTGCCATAGAACAGCGCCACCACTGTCAGGTGGGAAGCACAGGTGGACAGTGCCTTGTGCCTCCCGGAGGCCGAGTGCATCCTCAAGACAGATAGAAGAATCCGGGCGTAGGAAACAACAATGAGGAGAAAAGGGACAAAGACAATGACGATACTGAAGACGAAAACAACCAGTTCTGTAAGGGAAGTGTCAGTGCAAGCCAGCCTCAGCACAGAGGGCACCTCACAGAAAAAGTGATTCAGGACATTGGGCCCGCAGAAGGGCAAGCTCAAGGTGAGGGCATTGATGACCATGGAACTCAGGAAGCTGGTAAACCAGGAAACGGCTGCCAGGTGGACACAGGTGTTTCGGTCCATAATGACAGTGTAGTGAAGAGGGTGGCAGATGGCTACGTAGCGGTCATAAGCCATGACACCCAGAAGGACACATTCAATCATCCCAAAGGCGAGAGAGAAGTACATCTGAGTAGCACAGCTGGAGAAGGGGATGGTCTTCCTTCTCCCCCCGATGTTGGAGAGCATTTGTGGGACATTGGTGGAGGTGTAGCAAATATCCAGAAAGGACAAGTTAGTGAGGAAGAAGTACATGGGGGTTTGGAGACGAGGCTCTATCCGGATAACAGTGATGATAATGACATTCCCAGCCACCGTTAATAAATAGAAGAACAGGAATAGAACGAAAAGAATGAGCTGTGTCTCAGGCTCAGAGGAAAGCCCTAGGAACAAGAATTCAGTCACGGTAGAGTTTGTTTTCCATTTATCCATTTTCCACACCAGTGTGCTCTCCTGGAATCACCCACTCACCTGTAGTCCAAATCAAGTTCCTAATCTGTCAGTTTGGAAGCTAAAGATAGTAAGAAGGAAAAGAGAAATCTTTTTTTTTGCACTACCAGGGACTGAACTCATGATCTTGCACTTGCCAGGCAGGTGCTTATGCCACTGAACTATATCCGCAGCCCAGAAAAGAGAAATCTTGGTCTGAAATTCCTCACTGTACTCAGGCCAAGCCAAAGTTTCTCAACTTACATATGATTTGATCCAGAAATGTTTTCTGAGCGTTTAAAATGCAAATAACAATAGAAGCAATTTAAAGGAGTACATAAAAGAATGTGTTCAAAGAATCTTAAACAATCACTGCATGTACAGCATGAAGTGATCCATTTCTTTTAAATTCAATTCTCTAATACCAGCTACTCTGGAGAAATATCAGTACTTCAAAAGATCAGGCACATTAAAGTGATGAGGTCTATGTCCTGAGAGCTCCTCAGGGTCCTCCCCGTGCCTCTGTGCTCTCAGCTGAAGCACCATGTCAGTAAGTTTCACTATTTCCTACTCCTCGGCACTTAAGAGGAACAATCTAGAATGACACAGGCTGATGGAGAAGCCTAGATACTAGCACAGTCCTACAAACAAGAGTCAGTGGGCAGGCTTTCCTCCATCCACTTGTCCCTTCGTTCTTCTTTCCTCCTAGGTTTCTTTTTTTCTTTCAATCCGTATCTAAGTCTCCTCAGCGGGGCAGTGGGACCACAGTAGCACCACGATGACAGAGTGGATGGCAGTATTAAATGAGGTAACATATGAGGCAGCCGAGTTAGGCATAGATAATAAAGGCTCAGTGCCTCGTAACTGTTGTCAGACCACGTGGCCTTCATTAGAGGATCTGTGCTAAGTGCACAGAGCAGGCATTATTAGCAACCCTCAACAACAACAACAAAAAACCAGAGAAACATATGTCATTAATACATGAAGCAATTTGTCAAGATCATTTGAGTAATTCCTAAGTGTATGTGCAAGCATCTACGACACCCATCTATACAGTATGTCTACATCCTCCACATCACTATACAGGGACAAGACCACTAAAACTTATAGTCTCTGCTCTACGTCCCTATGTGTTTAAACAAAACTGTGCAGATGACAAGGAATACAAATATCTTGGTCCAATTACTGAGCACAGCTTCATGTTTTGAAAATTCAAAAAGTAGACCGGGCATATATAACTCAGAGTCACAGTGCCTGCCTGGCAATGGCAAAGTCCTGAGCTCGATTCCTGGTACCAAACAAAATTCAAAAAACATGAAATAGTCTCTTAATTTCTGGGGTGACAGCAGTCACCTGAAAGCACCTCTTCCTTTACTCCTGTGGCTGTGATGGCCAAAAGCCTGCTAGGGCCCATCCACCTGCAGAGCTCTGCTTTCAATCCGTCCCATTCCTATCAGAACACACAGTGTTTCGTCTCATTTAAAAGCTTCAATGAAGAACAAATCTACTCTCGTGGTAGGCACGAATTTAGTTAAAGTATAAGATAAAGCTAAGTCACTTACTCACTAAGAGATTTTTTTCTTCTGAACTACGTGGCCTAATACTCAAAAGCCATCTAATGCCATGTAAACAGAAAAAAAATAAGAAGCCAGTGTAGCTCCATGCCAAGAGGGTAGAATGTGAGACTAGCTTCCACTTTAGGTCAGGCCGTCTGTCATCGGATGGATTCAGAATCTGAGCATCTTCTGTAGTATATGAATGTCTGATTAATACTTCCATTGTGCAAATTACAGGGCCAAATTACAGGACCAAATTTAAAACACTGAATCGAATTAGCCAGGTTCAATATTCCTTCATAATATCAGGATGTGCCAAAGGTGACTGTAATCTTTTTAACTTACATCAGTTGTTAAAGTGAATATACTGTCATCTCCACTGTGTTATTAAATCGTCACCTCTTTTCTGATAAATGTAATAGATAGCATTCATGTTGTTGGGTTTTAGTAATGCTTCATTTTCCCAGAACAATTTGACAAAACAATACAGTGTATGGGTTAAAGGCACAGACTTTAGACAAGAAAATCTGCAATATGAACTCTGATTCCATGATTTTGTGTGAGATTACTTAGTGGAAAGTTCTAAACTACTCGAAACTCATAGTTGTCCTGTATAAAACAAGAACTAGGCTAACGTTCAATTCATGAGATTACCTTGATGATTATATTAGAAATTATATCTAGCAGTTTTAGCAAAGTGTCTGACACATCATCAGTCCTTGATAAATTGTGGCCTGTTGTATGTCAGAGAATCCAGGTTGATTCAATCTGCTGTAAATCTAAATGGGGTCTAAGACTGGAATGTCTATTGCATGTAATCATATTGCTAGTACTTGACAAGTCACTGTACAGTCATTGGAAGTATTCTTAAATTCATACCAGCCAAATCACTGTCCTGTATGATATTCTTTCACTGGGCATCAGTTCATGAATGAATAAAATTTATCGTTAAAAACTAATGGAAGAACTGAGATGTTTAAGGACTAAGAATAATACAGATTATATATCACCATATCATCATACTTAAGTAAGAATCTTGGGAAAGTTTACTAAGCAGGCAAAAAATGATTTTCTAATGATTCTATCACTAAAGTATAAAAATTAAGCTGGAAAAGGAATTATATCTTGGTAAAATAAAAACATCATTCAAAGCACTTAAAAATTAGATAATAATCTTCCACTTAGTGTTTCACAAATCCTATTGAGTAAAGAGTTGGGAGAAGTGTTTGATAAAGCTTGGAGGAGGAAGAGGAAAATGAGAAGGTAGGCCTCCTGGAAGATGCCTAACAGAGAACAAGACCTTAACTCACCAAGAACGCCGTTCTGGGAAACATCAGAACAAATGCTAGTAACTTTTCATGTTCACTGAAGGCTAATAATTCACCTTTCCCCCAGCCAAAGCCTCTCTGGATAAGAAGAAAATCACAAAAAATCCTGACATTAATAACTACCTACTATGATATGTAATTACAAAGTAAGCATTGTATTGTGCACTTTGCAACTTCGTACTTCAGATGTATTTATACTCATTTAAAAATAAAGATATGAAGGTCAGAATCTCTACACAACTTTATGACAGTATTTAGTAGGTCATAGTTTCAATTTAAATCTGAGGAATTGCAACATACTCTTTACCCATAATGTTAGATATTATATTACTATCACCTTATTTAAACTCTGTGAGTATAGTCATGTGCAGAAAACATACCTAAGTTATAAGCAGGGTACGGGAGCAGTCTGCTTAATGCATACCTTCTCCATATGCGCATGGAAACAAAAGCCTACAAAAGACAAAACAGGTGATACCTATGTGCAAAAACGCACAACTCCACGGAGATAAAATAAACCTCCTTTCATAACTACAAATAAGAAATGCTATAATCCAGTTCATCCCTTTAAAGAGATTGTAAAAATAAGGCAATGAATTCATGCCCAGTGAAATTTCTGTCACCAGAGATTTTTTCATTTTATGGCCTCGGACTGAATTTTAAATTCTTGAGGGATAACGTCCCAGACCAACAATTAAAATTTAATTACTTTTATGAGGAATTCTTGGTTGATGCATGTGTTAGCCCTACACCCTCTTATTTCCCTGAATACAAACATTTTTCATGATGTAAGCATGGCATGAGTTTTGAATGAACACAATATTCTCTTCCTTCTCCATTGCTTAACACCCCTAGATCTATAACAATTGTGCGTATTAATGGGGTATAATATGATGCTTTGATCTGTGTATGTGCTCTATAAATACATTATTCAATATGTATTCATTAAGC